AGCGGAGGGCGCGCACTTAACCGCTCAGCCACAGGGCCGGCCCGACAGCAGTTTTATTTGTAACGGCCAAAATCTGCAAACAACCTAATATCCATCAACAAGTGAGAGGATAAATAAATTGTGGTATACTCTTATAATGGAATACTACTCAGCCATAAAAAGGAATGAACTCATGCAACAGCAAGGCTGAATCTCAAAATAATTATGCTAAGCGAAAGATGTTAGGCAAAAAGGAGTGGGTCTTGTATGTTTCCACTTACGTAAAATTCTACAAAACGCAAATTAATCTATAGTGATAGAAAGCACTGCCTTGGGATGGGGAGTGGCAGGGGTGGAGAAGGAATAACAAAGGGGCACAAGGAAACATTTAGGGTGATGGATATGCTCATTCTCTTGATTGCGGAGTTGGTTGCATGCGGGTATACTGCAAAACCATCAAACCGTATACTTTAAATAGGTATAGCATATTGTATGTCCATTATATCTTAGTAAACCTGTTTTTTGAAAAAGGAAAAATATTTACAGGAACTAAGCAAGTACAATTAAAGTGCAGCCTATCTGCCCTATCCAGAGGGCCCTGTCCCTCAGCTCTGTTCAACCTGCTGCACTGTGGTACTGCCCAATCTTTTAATTTTTCAAAACAGGTGGGGAATATAAATTTTTAAAAATGTGGACTCTCCTGATTCTGAGTAATTTAATTCAAACAATTAAAAAACTTATGTGGGGCAAGCAAAACCTCTGCGTGGCAAATGTGGCCGATGGGCCTCTCGCTGGTGGTGGCTTGCCCCACCCCAAAAATGTGCAAATGTGCCCCAAGGCCTCTCATTTCCTTGAACACTCCCCCTTGTTACCCACTATCCTCCTCAAGATGTGGATCCACTGCATACCACATCCAATTCGAAAATCACTGAATCGAACATCCTGCCCTCTACCTTAGCTTCCTGTCTTTCCAACACTCTGGGTCAAGAAACCCTCCAGTGTTCCTCAACTACATGGCACCCAAGCCCATTGATCCTTTGGTTTCTTCCTGTTCCTTTCTCTCCTTGCTCAACCCTCATTGCCATCCTGCACATCCGTCTACGTCCTTCAGTTGGTTCACTCTTGCACCATTTGCATTAAATGTTTCCTTTCTTCTCCCCTCCCCCAAACTCGATCCACATTCTCTTTCTCTCTGAACATCCTTGCCTCATGTTCTAGAGCAGCAAGTCACTAGAAATTTCCATTTACAAATCAGCTCAAATCTCGTTTATACGACCCCCACGATGGAGGACTGCCTCACCACCATGCTCTGGAGCCCACCTTCTCATGCACTCACTCAGTCTGTCACCCCTTCCTCTTCCCAGGTACCAAGCCTATCTCATTGGCTTCGCACATGCTAGTTTCCCATTTTAAACAGCAAAAAGAAAAAGTCTCCTCCCTGGATCTCATAAATCCCTTCAGTTATCCATCTTTCTCCATCCTGCCTTCTCTACTTTCATAGCCAAACAATCTTAAAAAGGAACCAACTGCACTTCTCCATTTCTCCATAACCCTTTCAACCTCATCACGTTTCAATCTGGCTGTAGCCCAAATGCTGAAAGATGTCTTAACAACACACGAAAAGCACTAATATAAAAAAACTCTGATAAATTTGACTATCTTAAAATTAGCGCTGTTACTCAAAGATACTTTTTTATACTTTGAAAAAAGTGAAAAGTAACAAACCTAGAAGTGTTATCTGTAACACATATATCTAAGAATAGTCTAGCATAAAGAATATAGAAAGATTAACAAAATAAAGGCCATATATGACAAACCCACAGCTAATATCATCCTCAATGGTGAAAAACTGAAAGCTATCCCTCTAAGAACAGGAACCAGACAAGGATGCCCACTCTCACCACTCTTATTTATCTTATCTCACCACTCTCACCATAGTATTGGAAGTCCTAGCCAGAGCAATCAGGCAAGAAAAAGAAATAAAAGATACACAAATTGGAAAGGAAGAAGTGCAACTGTCACTATTTGCAGATGACATGATTTTATATATAGAAAACCCTAAAGAATCCACCAAAAAACTTAGAAGTAATTAACAAATACAGTAAATTTGCAGGATACAAAATCAACATACAAAAATCAGTTGGTTTCTATACACTAACAACAAAGTAGCAGAAAGAGAAATTAAGAATACAATCCCATTTACAATTGCAACAAAAAGAATAAAATACCTAGGAATAAATTTAACCAAAGAGGTGAAAGACTTGTACACTGAAAACTATTAAACATTGTTGAAACAAACTGAAAACGACATAAAGAAATGGAAAGGTATTCCATGCTCTTGGATTGGAAGTATTAACAGAGTTAAAACGTCCATACTTCCTAAAGCCATCTAGATTCAATGCAATCCCTATCATATCAAAGTTCCAACAACATTTTTCACAGAAATAGAACAAAGAATCCTAAAATTTATATGGAACAACAAAAGACCCTGAATAGCCAAAGCAATCCTGAGAAAAAAGAACGAAGCTGGAGGTATCACACTCCCTGACTTCAAAATATACTAAAAAGCTATAGTAATCAAAACAACATGGTACTGGCAGAAAAACAGACACACAGGTCAATGGAACAGAATCAAGATCCCAGAAATAAACCCACACATCTATGGACAGCTAATTTTCAACAAGGGAGCCAAGAACACACAATGGAGAAAGGAAAGTCTCCTCAATAAATGGTGTTGGGAAAACTGGACAGCCACATGCAAAAGAATGAAAGTAGACCATTATCTTACACCACACACAAAAATGAACTCAAAATGTATCTACACAAAAATTAACTCAAAATTTATTAAAGACTTGAATGTAAGACGTGAAACCATAAATCTTCTAGAAGAAAACATAGGCAGTACACTCTTCGACACTGATCTTAGCAGCATATTTTCCGCTAAGATTGTTTTTAACAAACAAATGGGACTACCTCAAACTAAAAAGATTCAGCACAGCAAAGGAAACCATTAACAAGATGAAAAGACAACCTAACAAATGGGAGAAGATATTTGCAAACCATATATCTGATAAGGGGTTAACATCCAAATATATAAAGAACTCATACATCTCAACAACAAAAAAACTAACAACCCAATTAAAAAGTGGGCAAAAGATCTGAACAGACATTTTTCCAAAGAAGATACACAGATGGCCAACGGGCACATGAAAAGATGTTCAACATCACTAATTACTAGGGAAATGCAAATCAAAACTATAACGAGATATCACTTCACGCCCGTCAGAATGGCTATAAAGAACAAGAGAAGAAATAACAAGTGTTGGAGAAGATGTGGAGAGAAGGGAACTCTCATACACTGCTGGTGGGAGTGCAAACTGGGGCAGCTACTATGGAAAACAGTATGGAGGTTCCTCAAAAAATTAAGAATAGAACTACCATACGATCCAGCTATTCCACTGCTGGGTATTTATCCAAAGAACATGAAAACACGAATGCGGAAAGACATATGCACTCCTGTGTTCATTGCAGCGTTATGCACAATAGCCAAGACTGGGAAGCAACCTAAGTGCCCATCAAGGGACAAATGGATAAAGAAGGTATGGTATATATACACAATGGAATACTACTCAGCCATAAGAAACAATGAAATCCAGCCATTTGTGACAACATGGATGGACTGTCATGGTATTATGCTAAGTGAAATAAGTCAGAGGGACAAAGTCAAATACCGTATGACCTCACTCATAAATAGAAGATAACAACAACAAACAAACATAGAGACAGAGATTGGATTGGTGGTTACCAGAGGGGAAGGGGAGAGGGAGGGGGGCTAAAGGGGTGACTGGGCACATGTGTATGGTGATGCATGGTAATTAGTCTTTGGGTGGTGAACATGATGTAATCTACACAGAAACTGAAATATAATCATGTACACCTGAAATTTATATAGTGTTATAAACCAATGTTACCTAGATAAAAAAAATTAAAAAAAAAAAGAATATAGAAAGACTCCTACAAATAATAAGTCACATTATTCAATAAAAGACATGAGCAAGCATTTCGCAGATGAAGAAGTCTTATGTCGAATAAACATGGAGCTTCTCAGCCTTACAAGAAGTCAGAGAAACGGACATCAAGACCATAGTGAGATGGATCACATGCTTAGCAGATAGCGCAAATTTAGATATTTAACAAAATCAGGCTTTGGGAGGGTGCGGATCAACAGGTTATTACTGACGTTGGTACTGGAGTCATTGATGCCACCACCTGTAAAGCTGAAACATTAACATCCCCCAACCCAAATCCTACTTCTCAGTGCACAGCCACGAAAACACAGCGCTGGTGCACGAGGAGGTGGACGAGTGTTCACAGCAGCAACAAGCAAACAAAACAGGTGACAGTGCAAACGCCCACTGGCAGGAGAACAGAGAGGAGTCCTCACACAGCAGGGCACAAACAGTGGTGAAGACGGGCGAGCACTCACCACATGGAGAAATTCCAGTAGCAGGACATTGGTGAACAGCGCAGAGACTGCAGGTCACGAGTTCAAAACAATTCAAACTACAGAACAGTCTTCCTGGGTGTGTACACAGACACACAAATGATTTTTTGAAAAAGCAAGGGTGAGATAAACCCAAAATCCCAGTCAATGGTGGAGGGCTCAGTGGAGGATGGGGAGGGGACAGCAGGGTGGTGGGGTCACCGTGCTCATGACATGACAAATGATGAGTAACATAAAGGAGGGAGTGGACTCATGGTGGCAGTGTGTCATGAACCCATGACTCGGTGTACTGAAGGTCCAAAATGGAATGAACACGTGATGTCTGCAACTTTAGATCTCAAAAAATGTCTGGTAATAAAGCTGCAATCAGGAGGCATGCGAAAGGGCGCATGGAGCCCACTCACAACCTCTCAGTATAAACACGGCGATGGCACACCCCCTACACCACCTAGACGTCAAGGGATAGACGGAAGAGGAGAGACTACCACCCATCAGGAAGAGTCACGAAGAGCATTACCTACTATATGTAAATTCCACATCCATAGGTTCAAAGTTATACGCTTGTTCAAATTCTGTGTTAAGTTTGAGAGTTACATCTTCTTCATGAATCTAAAAAAGAAACAAACAATTTAATTTCCATACTTTATACCTGATTTCTGGGGACAATCTTCTATCCGTATCTAGTAACACATGAAACATTCATGCTACCGATTTGAACTAAAATTCAGTATCTTAAATCCATGCAAAAATAATCAAAAAGGGTTAAATCTTTGTGCTGTTACATTACCAAACAGAAGGACCTGGTCCATGTGCCCACCCCCACCAGCACACTTACTGAGCTTCTCCTCCCTGGCCACGCTCTCCACCTGGGCTCTGCAAGTACTAGGTGTGCAACACAGGCCACGCCTCCAAAGGCAAACAAACAATTATAAGTGTAGCAAGATGTACCTGCCACAATAGTGCCTCCATAAAAAGGTCGTTCCAAGACCTCCCCTTCCAGCAGTAGAGGAAACTAGATGTTCTGGGACCCTCCAGCCAAAGCTAGATCCTGCATACAATTCCCAGACAGGCAGGAAGGAAGGGAAATTTCTGAGGCAAAACAGGAAGGAAAATCTGAGAGCTGAAAGAGAGCTCAAACCAAATAAGGGAGTACCAGGCCATGTGGCTTTCCAAGGGCTGGGTGGAAGCTGCAACTCGAGTCAACTCTGGTGTGGACACTGGTCTGCACCGTGACATCAGCAGGGACTTGGATGGTGCAACTGCACCCATCAGCAGTGCCCCCTTGCTCTCAGCAGAAGCTAACATCATCCCCTGAAAAGCAGAGCAAGCCAGCACAGGTCCTCGGGTCTCCCAGAGATTAAGATAAACAAAAATGAATCCATAATCAAAGGTGGCCAAACACACAGGGAAACAAAGCACCAAGAGGGAGGGTCAACACAAAGAGCCATCATCAGATTCAGGCCCCAAGGACATCATATACTGGCACTGTCATTTACAGAAACTTGAAAAACTATGTATGAAATTAAAAGAAAAACCAGAAAGACAAAGGAAGCATAAGATAAGACAAAAAATGACAGGGCAGCTTTAATGAATCAAACAGAGCATTGAGAAATGAAAACTACGCTTATTGAGATCACGAAGCGGAACGGGAGGAAATGACCATGTTTGTTCTCAGGCATGTGCTCCTGGCAGACAGGGTGGCCCCTCTGTGGAGGTGGCCATGGTGGCAGGAGTCAGCGCTGGGCTCTGCCTCAGGAGCCAGCGCTGGGCTCTGCCTCAGGAGCCTTCTGTCCCCATGGCTCCCAGGACTACCATCCCTGGTGAGTGCACAACTTGCCAGTAGCAGAGTGGCCCCACTCTGGAATGTCCCCACCACCCGGTGCCAGGGTGACTATACTGGGCCACTGGTCATGGAAGACAGCGATTTGAGGTCAACGGAATAACCGCTCATTCTAGACGCGTCTCCTCCGCCCACCACACTCAGCCAGCCACACCACATAGGGGCTCTCCTGAGGGCCTTCTGTACCATCACGTATCCCACACCACTGCACTGGCCAAGAAATTAAATTATAGAGAACCAAGTAAAGCAATGGGCTGAGACCTGTAGAACTTACTAACTTTACCATGAATTCCATCACTCAGAAGCAGCTGACTTTATGAAGTCTAAACTCCTCAGCTACAAGCACCGGCCTCTGTGATCTGCTTACCACCCTCTGAAGTGACCTGCCGTGCCCTTTTTGGCTACCCAAATTCTTTTTGTCTCTTAAGAGTATCTCAGATGTCACTTTCTCCTCTTCTCAAGCAGATTAATAAATCTCTCCTGCAAATAGTATCATTTAAGTCAGTCCTCTCGTTGTCTTCGGTGGAGAACCACCCGACTGCCTCACACCATCTCCGCTCACCTTCCTCAGCAAGGACAGAGCACAGCCTCACACCTGTGCAATCCACCAATGCTGGACTAGCTGTTACGTCTCTGAACCGCCCCCAGCTTCCATCTTCTAGGAAAAGATCACATTCTATGAACTGAACCCCAGTACGGGCCCCGTATTTAGGTGCAGAATGCAGCAGACATGGCAGCAAAGGTCAGATGTCACCTCTTCTTTGAATCCTCTCCAGACTCTTCTAGCTCCTGCAACCCTTCCTCCCTCTAGAGTCAGGGCTTTGGCACTCTTTTACTTTTCTACGCTGGGTAGCGTGTGGGCTTCATTTTTCCCTTCACACAGACTCGGGCATCGATCCCAGCGCCATGCTTGGTACAGAAGCAGCGAAGACCAGCTGCAGCAGCACAGACCACACACACAGAACCACCTGAGCAGCAGGAGTTAGGTAAGCCAATAAAACCTTCTTCACCAACTTTCAGAGCTGTAAACTTTTGAGTGTATTTTTCCTTCTGCGGCTATCCTCTTCTGGAATACACTCAGAATGCCCAAATGTAACTACATGCAAGCACCATGCCTTACATGTGATATACTTAAAAGGTAAATACGTTTTACATGGTTGAAAATGATAGGATTTCTTTAGATACTAAATCCTCTTTATGCTTCAAATTTACTTAAATATTCACTTTATCCTCCAATTTTCCAAAATACTGTCAGTGCCCAAGAAAGCTGTGGCAGGAAGTCTACCTCTCCGGCTGGTCTGAGGGCTAGTCCAACATGAACTGACTACAGGTGGCTGCTCACCTCAATCACGTAGCCAATGTATTCGATGACATGTCCATTGTACTCTTGAGTTTTTAAAATCAGTTTATCACCTAGTTAAAAATATATTACCACATGTAAAACTACATAATCACAAAATTCTGCTGCTGTACTATAAAATCAAACTTTGAACAAGTGTAATAAAACAAAAACATTACTAGGATCAACTGCTTAAAAATAATATCAGTGTGACAAAAGAGAGATGCTGGATGTACTCAAGTTGCTGACCAAGTTTTACATGAATTTCTAACTCAAAGCAAAGAAAACCAGGTAACATGATTGTGGTGTTACAGTTACAAACGTTCCTTCCTCGACTGTGCTTCATTGTCTGCTGGTTCAGCTAGTAAAACACGACACCTAACACACTCACCTGCATACAGAGAAGGCCTACTTTCAGCTAATCCTGGGACCTCCAGAACAAGAAAATCTCCATTTCTTTTCAAGGTGACCCCACTCATATTATATTCTTTCAATTCTGTTTCTGCATGAATCTCCTCAAGCCAGAGCAAAGTTGAAAACTTCTCCTTGTAGTTTGACATCTTCAAAAGCTGAAAAAAACCCCCCCAACAAGTTGATGAGAGCAGAGTAACACATCAAATACACCCAAGTCCAGGAAATAAGCAGCTCTGGGGTTGGTAAGTCCAAGCTGCTGAAACTCAACAGGCAGATCAAACAACGGCTTTCAAACAATGACTACCAGGCAGCACAGGGCAGTGACCCTGAGACTGGGGAAACTGTCTAAGTGAGCCCTATAACTGCCCCAGCAGCTGCCTAGACAGGGTTCCCAGACCCAGAACAGGGAAGAACGCAGAGGAGCCATGTGGACTCTGCACTGAGGAGATGAAGCTAGGGGCTGCAGGTGGCCGAGTGCCGGGAAAACAGCAGCACACAGAGGTCTAGAGAGTTTCAGATAGTCCCCTCTGAGCCGTCAGCTGAGCACTGGCCAGAGTGTGAGAGAGTGCTGAGTGTGAGAAACCACGCTAGGCCAGGAGACCCGTAAAATGGGATCAGAGCAGGGTTCCTCAGCCTCAGCACCACTGACACCTGGGCTGGACTGTTCCCTGGGGTGGGGCCCGACCTGTGCATTGTAGGGTATTTAGCAGCACCCCTGGCCTCTACCCACCAGATGCTACTAGTACCTCAATCATGACAACAAACAACGTCTCCTGGGGGGTAAATTGTCACCCGTTGAGAATGACTAGACTAGAGGGAATGATTCCCAGAGCTCACACAGGGCTGAGAACAGTGTGGGTCCTGACAGCCTAGAAGGAAAGGCCTGTAATGAAGGGGCACTGGAGAGAGTACTCAGAACGGTATTAGCCCCAAATTAATTCTACTCTGGTGCCACCCAATAAAGCTTTAAGCCAGGCTTAAAAGTATCCAACTGTTTCTAAGTAACGTAACTGCATCCCAGAATGAAGCTCAAAAATATTTTCAGGAATAGATAAATATCTAAAACCCAGCAAGGTAAAATCCAGAACGTCTGGCATCCAAAGAAAGATTACCAGGCATGCGAAGAAGCAGAAACTACTACCCACAGTGAGGAGAAAACCTATCAACAGAACCAGAACTGACACTTGTGACAGAATTAGTAGACAAAGACATTAAAACAGCTGTTATAACTGTATTATATATACTTAAAAAGTTGAGGAAAGACTGAGCACATTAAGTAAAGACACAGAAGATATAAAAAAAAGACCCAAATTGAACTTGTAGAGATAGTAACTACAATATCTGACATAAAAAACACACTGGATGGGACTGCACATTGCAAAAGAACAAATTAGTGAACCTGAAGAGACCGCAATAGAAACTATCCAGAATGCAAGGCAGAAGGAAAGACTGAAGAACAACAAACAGAGCATCAGTGAGCTGCGGGACAACTTCAAGTGGCCCAAGGTTGTCTAATAATCTGGCAAAAGGGGGCAGAAAGAGTATTTGAAGACAGAAGGGCCAAAAAATTTCCAAATTTAAGGAAAACTATAAGCCTACATATCCAAGAAGCTCAAAGAACCCCAAGCCAAAAAACGTGAGGAAAACTATACCAAGGCACACTGTAAATTCAATTTCTTAAAACTAATGATACAGAGAAAATCTTAAAAGCAGCTAGAAAAAAATGTACATCACGTGTGAAAGTACAAAGGTGCGAAGGAAAGCAGCTGTGTCATGAGAAATACAGCGGGTGGACTGGAGGACAGCCGAGCGGCATCTCTAAAGTTTCAGCCTAGAATTCAAGACTGGCAAAAATCGCTTTCAAAAATGAAAGTGAAATAAAACCTTTTGCAGACATACAAATTCTACAAGAACCAACCACTTGCAGACGAGTATCACAGGAGGTGTGCAAGCCCTTCAGCAGGAGAGGGACCCACAGCAGGCTGGGTCCATGTGGAGCTCCAGGAAAGGTGATGATGCAGTGAGTGTAAAAGATTTATCTTTTAAATGCCTCTAAAAGATAACTGATTATATAAAGTAAAAAGAATAAAATGCATTACGGAGTTCAAAACATATGTAGATGTCAAATTTACAACATTAGCAAAAGGTCAAGAAGAAAGAATGGGGAGGCAGCACCCGAAGCTCCCACTCTGTGCAGGAAGTGTCAGGGTGTCACTGCAGACTGTGATGAGCGGACAGTGCTGTCCTGTGCTGTCCAAAACAGCCACTCTCCACATGCAGGTGCGTACACAGAAATTAATTCAGATTGAACAGAATTAAAGATTCAGTTCCTCAGTGGCACGAGCCACAGTGCAAACACTCAATAGCTACCTGTGGCCAGTGGCTCCCACATCCGAGAGCACAGATGAAGAACATTTCTACCACAGCAGAAAGTTCTACTGCACGGGGCTATTAGAAACCCTAGACACACAACTGTACACACACTACAAAAGGAGAGTTAGCCAACAAAGGAGATACGGAATCATAAAAATGGCAGAAAAAGAGGAGAAAGAAAACAATGAACAAATAGAGAGCAAACAGCCAGATGGCAGATTTAAACCTCACACAGAATGTAAGTCGTCTAAACACCACAAGTAAAAGGCAGACTGTCAGATGGATAAAACAGCCAGACCCAACTAGCTGCTTCCCATAAGAAATCCATTTTAAAGACAAAGATACAACTAGATGACAAGTCAAAGACTGGGAAAGGATGCCCTGAGTAGCACCGATCACAGCAAGCTGCAGGAGCTGCATGAACATCACACAAAGTGGATTCTAGGGCCAGCCCTGTGGCTTAGCGGTTAAGTGCGTGCGCTCCGCTACTGGCGGCCCGGGTTCAGATCCTGGGTGTGCACTGACACACCGCTTCTCCGGCCATGCTGAGGCCGCGTCCCACATACAGCAACTAGAAGGATATGCAACTATGACCTACAACTATCTACTGGGGCTTTGGGGGGAAAAAAAAAAAGGAGGAGGATTGGCAATAGATGTTAGCTCAGAGCCAGTCTTCCTCAGCAAAAAAAGAGGAGGATTAGCATGGATGTTAGCTCAGGGCTGATCTTCCTCACACACACAAAAAGTGGATTCTAGAGCCAGAACACCACCAGGGACAAAGCAAGACATTTCACGCTGACAAAAGGGTTAATTAATCAAGACAACATAATAACCATAGATGTTTATGCAACTAATTACAGAACTTCAATGTAAGAAGCAAAGACTGATGGACCTGAAAGGAGAAACAAACATATATTTATAGTCAGAGAATTAAACTTCTCTCTCAATAATTTATAGAACAAGCACATAGAAATCAATAAGGGTACAGAAGACTTCAACAACACTACCAACCAACTTGCCCTGACAGCTATAGAATAACCTGCCAAACTGCAGCAGAATTACATTCAAGTGTACAAGGAATATTTACCAAAATAGACCATATTTTGGACTGTGAAACAAACAGTCAATAAATGTAAAAGGGTTCAGTCGTATAAACTATGTTCTCTGACCGCAATGGAATTAAATTAGAAATCAACAGAAAAATTTCTGGAAAAGAATCTCAATATTTGGAAACTAAATAACACACTTTTAAATAATCTATGGGTCAATTAAGAAATCAAAAAGAAAATTAGAAGATATTTTGAACTAAATGAGAATAACACAACCAAGTGAAATTTGTGGGATGCAGCTAAATATTATTTAGAGGAAAATTTATAGCACTAAAAAAACCTATGTCAGAAAAGAAGAAAGATCTCAAATCAATGATTTTAAGCTCCCTCTTTTAAAAAGTAGGAAAAAGAGCAAATGAAACCAAGCAAGTAAAAGAAATAAAATAATAAAGATCAGAGCGGGTATCAATGAAAAAGAAAACAGAAAAAGAGAGGAAAATCAATGAAACTAGAAGCTGGTTCTTTGAGAAGATTAATAAAAATTTATAAACCTGTAGCCAGATTGATCAGGAAAAAAGAAAGACAGACGAATTACCAATATCATAAAAAACTTAATGCAAATAAATTACAACTTAGGTGGAGCAGATAAACTCCTTCAAGGATAAAAATCACCACGGCTCACTCCAAAGAGAGAGAATGACCCGCCCCCTGTGGCTATCAAAGAAACTGAATTTCTAAGGAAACATCTTCTCATGAGGAAAACTCCAGAGCCAGAAAGCCTCACTGGAAAATTCCATCTGAAATTTAAGGAAGAAACACGACCATTCTGACAAACTCTTGGGAGCACTCCCCAACCACTCTACGAGGTGAGCATGTGCTGGCTTCAACCCCAGACCAGGGAACTCAGACCAGCATCCCTCACGAACACAGATGCAGAAACCCAAACAAAGGTCTGGCAAATCAAATCCAATTCTTCGTGTTTGTGCATATTTATACATATATATGTCTACAAACACACACATGCATGAGCGACAGCACCATCATCACATGGAGTTTATCAGAGGAATGGAAGGTTGGTGTAACATCTGAAAATCAATCAATGGAATTCACCTCATTAACAGACCAAGAAAGAAAAACCACATGATCTTCTCGATAGAGGCAGAAAGAGCATTTGAAACTCACCTCAGACCAGCCATTCTGAAGTACACATGTCGGTGCCTTTAGCACACTCACAAGCTATGCAACCCCTTACCCAGTGAGCACTTTCCCCCTTCCCTCCTTCCTGCAGACCCTGGCAACCGCCAACCCGCACTCTGCCTCTATGGACATTTCACGTGAGTGGAATCCCACAACATGTGACTGTGTGTCTGTCTTCTCTCACTCAGCACCCACAGGCGAGCTGAGAAACAAGGTGGGATATATTCACATGACGAAGTCACTGTCTTCATCGTGGTGATGCTGTATACATGTGTCAAAACTCTGATCCAAGTGTGCACCTGAAATCGATGCAGTTCACTGGACGTCAACTGTGCCTCACTAAAGCTGACGCAAGTGCAGCACCTCGTGGGTTATTACCGAGATGACACAAAGGCAGACGTACTCCGGACTCTTAAACCACACAGTAGTTTTTTATGATTAATGCCATCAACATTATTATTACTGCTGAACAGGAACATGCTTCCTTCTGGTAACTACCACATTCATGAGGAAGGTCCCTTCCAGCAGGCAGGCAAGCGTTAAACGAAAGCTGTGGATGCACAGGCTTAACATGATGTTCACAGAAGCTGCATCTGCACCAGCATCAATTACTTGGCCTTAGAGCTCTTCCCTAACTTATTTTTAAGGCTAGTTTGCTGCCATGGCCTTAGTTCAGGTCCTAAAATCATTACGACTGTTGCACCGACTTCCTAACAGGTTTCCCTGCTTTGATTTTGCAGCCCGCCCCCCCGCTCCACCCTCTATACCCTGGTCCTTCCCAGGTGGTCCTGCCAACACCTAGGCAATGCAGAGCTGCCCACGCCCTTCTCTGTGCCTTGGCATGTCACTCCGCAGTAAGCTGTATGCTCCCCCCGCTTCAAGAATGCCAGCAAGTCCCCCTGGGGAGGGGGTATCTCCTGCCTGTGCCTACCACACAGTGTGGCATTGAGGGAGCTTCTATCACCCACCCTACCAAGGGGCCCAGAGCTCCACAGACAGGAAGGGCTCCATCGTTTCCACAGCCGGGCGAGCTCCTCCGGCTCAAGGACAACCACTCCACAGCGCAAGACCCTCCCCCACCAGCTTCCTCCCAAACCTTCTCTCCTCTCTGCACAACTCCCCACCTCTCCTCTCTACAGGCTCATGCCCTCAGCCCATAAACAGGCTTGAGACTTGTTCATCCTTGACAAAAGCTCTGACGAACCCATGCCTCCTTTCGGTCACTGTCCACTCTCTTCCCTCCTTTTTACTGGACGCCGCACATGCCCAGGCCCCACTTTGTTCAACTGCTCCTCAGCCAAAGGACCCCGAAACCCTATGGAAGATGCCTGCTGGAGATGGGGCAGCACTCTCCCCTCTAACTGCCAAATGGAGCAGCCTTTTCTTCCCCTGGACTTCGCTTAGATGTGCACACATGTGTGTGCTGACCTCTCTCAGTGCCACCCCTGCCCCTGCCCTTGCGCCTCCTCCCCGCCAGTGGTCCCACCCTTCTCCTGGCTTCAGCCACCACCTGGAAGAGCGGGTAGGCTCAGACAAGGCCTCCTCCAAAGAGCCACAAGAGAGGATGTGCCTCGCAAAGGCAGCAGCTGCGTCAGGCCTGGTGGTGAGCCTGGCACCCTCGCCTTCTCCCAAGCACTTGCCTGTGCAGCTAGAGGTCTTTCCACAGACGTCCTGTCTCTTCTCGGTTCCTCCTCTCAGAGGAAGCTCCTATCTATTTTTAGTTGCTGAGCGTTTTAACGTGAAAGGACAGCTGTTAGGAAGCTAGGCCCCCAGTTCTAGCAGACAGAGGCATCCCACCCTTGTGTCCCCAGCCCCCGAAAGCCCCAGTGCACGAGTCAGTAAGGCCCTGAGGATGTCACCTCCTGGGACATTACTCACACGTCATCTCCAAAGGAATACAGCCATTGCAATTGCCAGCTCCCTGTGGTAAAGACAGCCAGGATGAGGTCTGAACCTGTGAAGGGGTCACCCTGATCCTGTCAGAAAACAACCCCAGGGTGGTGAAGGGTCCATATTTCACATCAGACCCTCTGCCTACCTCTGCAAGCAACGGCTGAAAGGTCAGTATGTCAATTTTTTGTTCCACACATTTTTTAAGTCTATCTGGTATTGGATAGTGTGGAAGAAAACTTGGAAGTTGTCGTCTTGAGTTCCTTAAAAAAGAAATTCACAAGTTAAGAGCAATTCTTAGTCATGCAGGCGTTTTATACTTAGACACCCTGTCCTACTTTAGAAGACTAAAGTTCATTTAGTCACCAAAAATACTGATGTATGAACTGTTGGCTCAAGTCAGTAGTTTGCAAGCTTTTACTTTAGCTTTGGGATCCTTTCTCCCAACAAGCTCCCACAGGGTCCTCCCATCTCCAATAAGAGAGGAGAGCAGAGCTGCTTTCCCTGAGACAGGAGAATAGGTCCCCAAAGCCCAGGAACCTCTTGGAACCAGTGAGTTTGAAAAAAAACTGTTTTTAATCTTCCAAATAGTGCAACTCTTCCTGCTATATTTTTAGTAACGACGTGAATATTAGAAACTATGCCCCTACTACTGTGGAAAAACACGTTTGGTAAAGGCTGCTCTGTCTGGGTCCTGCCTTCCTATTTTTCAGCCTGTAATGTCTCTGGGGAAATTCGGTTTCACTCTCAAGCTCCTGCCTTTCCCTAGAAAGGGCTGTTAGCAGGAGTGAACACAATTCCCCCACCAGAATTCGGACTTGCCGTGGGCAAGTCCAAAACAACAACAGAAATGACAGGAAAGGAAAAAGTTGGGAGAAGAGAATCCAGGAAAGAGCAGAGACGTTCAAGTGTCAGAGTGAGGTAGAGTACACCCTCCATTCCGAGTCTGTCCCTGACTTCAGTGGAGAGAGGCGTCAGGCACTGCCGACCAGTGTCACTCCCGTCTAACGTGTGGCTCTAAGTTTGCATCTGAGTGGAGAGGAGAGAAGTGTATTGCCCAGTCTCCTTGGTCCACTAACGGTCACCTGACGTGTGGGCTCCTTTAGCTCAGCTCGAAACAAGAGGGCTGATGAGAGAGAAGCTCTGTGACAGAAATGCTCTGGGAAACCCCAGGGCCACCACCAGTAGCACCAGGTAGGCCATCCTCCCCGCTGGGAAACAGGGACATCTTCTCCCTGCAGATTTGCAGCAAGAGCTGGATGAGAGTGCACACAGATGTGGAGTGTATGTGGAAAGCAGAGGGCATTCAACATATGACAGCAAAGTATTAATTACTAACAGGAAGACTACACACACGTTCAGGTAAGTGGCCTAAACAGCCCATCTTATTCCCACACGGCCTCAAAAGACATGCTGAGTTAACAGAACATGTCTGCCCACAGCTTAGGATGGCTGGAAACTCAGCTGAGAAGGTCCTGGCACAAAGAGGGTCCTCAGCAGACTGGCTAAGTGAACACATGAACACAATGTTCTGGGAAAGGAGCAAAGACAGAGCAGGACAGGCAGGATGTATTGGAAGCCCTGCTGGACAAGTGGGGAGCAAGCAGGTGTAGACCCTGGGTTCCAAGGGTGCCCAAGCCAACCAGGACAGGCACTTTGGGTCACTAACTTGACGACAGGAAGCAAATGTCTCTTGTTTTAGAGACAACCCCGTACAGTGACAATGCATTAATATTCAAAGGTAAATAGCTAACAGGGGATTAAAATACTTGTGGTTTTTGGTCTATTTCACTTCTCAAGTTAAGCCAAATTATAACCAGAAAGTCGCTCAGTATTCCGTTAAATAACAACTGGGGGTTCTTAACAGCTCTTGTAATTAAAACCCAGCCATCTGGGACTCTCCACTCCCCACAGGCCACGGTAACTTCCAGCTCCCGTGTTGTAGGTTCCATGCCCAGAGTACGCCCCTTTACATGACCAACGACTGTTACTACTTATTGATCACTATCGACTGCTCTGTGCCAGAAATGGCACACTTTACATACCTTATCTCATTTAATCCTCACAACCCCATGAGGGAGGGACTATCACTTTACAAGTGAGACTAAGGCTTTATTAATACTCACTTTACAAATGAGAAAGGTTAAGAAACTGGCCCAAGGTCACACAGCTTCCTGGTGGCAGTGCTGGGAGTCAAACAACGGTCTAACTCCAGAGGTCAACAGCCAAAATACACTCCTCTCTGCTAACAGATCTTTTTCCTTCAGTTTGCAAATTCATAGAAGTCTATAATACCTTATCTTAAATTGTTACTGGCAAGATGTGATTTGAAATTCAGGATTTTCCAATACTGGAAAAGCAGTACCTATCGCCCCAGGGCTTGTGGGCAGCACCTGAGCTAAACTCATCAGTGACTGCAGCTGAGGGGTGAGCATTCACGTCACACAGGAAAAGTCATCAAATACCCTCACATTCCTATAGGTCAGATTTTTTTGGCACTAAACTCAACAAACAAACAAACAAACAAACAAAAACTGCTTTTCAGAGCTTTTGAGTTTCATAACTACAGATGAGAAAATGTGAACCTGCAGCACTTTCTTGAAGCTACACCCCAACTAAAGTCTGAGTGGTCCCCAAGTCCCTCAGCCACATGTCACTAGCAGATTACATGTTGTTTTTTCTTAAATTCATTCTTCAAAGGTGCCACATCTTCAAATGGGCTTCAAGTAGCCAAGCAACCTGGCTGCCCCAAACACAAGCCACGCTCAGGTGCTGTGAACAGCTCACAATGCCACGTCAGCCACACCTCACTGACACCATGCTGACCCGTGCCTCTGGGTGCCCATGTGGGACAGGAGATGTCTCCGGGGACGGGCTGGGCTGTCAGGAACATGAGAGGTGGCAGGAGCCAAGGGCAAGGATCAAATCGCACCTGCTCTGAGAAAGTCACCCTGAGAGGCGCTGGGAAGGAGTGAGGGCCTGGGGGCGTCATAGCCCCCCACCCTGTCCTCACATTGCTGACTGCCGCCTCTGGGCTCTCCTCAGAGTAACGTAAGAGTTGTGTGAAAACACACCCCTTGCCCCAAGCATAGTGATGACAGGCAGCTCGCAACCCAGCTGCACCCCCTTTATCCTGTCTGCCCGCCTCTCTTGAACACTCGTGTCTCACACGCCGAGCATGCACTCTGGGTCACACTCTCGTCCTCTCTACGCACAGTACCTTTTCTGTGTGGTCACCACAACTGTTGTTCTGGTGGAAGCTAATGCTTGGGAACTTTTAGACTTTCTCCATGAAAACGGTTCTCGGACAGCTATTAGCGACTCCTCCCCACTTACGACATTCACTTCAAGGACTCGCCCGATTATGAAACTAGAGAAGCAAAGCAGAAGGAGCTCCTTGCAGCGGCCGGAATTCCTTGCAAAAACAATACGTGACTTAGTTTTAGTCATAAATAAGACAGGCAGATTCCACGTAATTTCCCCTTGTACACTTAAGGAAAGTCACAGAGTTACCAACCACAGCCATCCCTAGTTTTTAATAATTCTTTTTACAGAGAAAAGATTTTCTAAAATAAGCAATGTAATATTTTCCTGATATAAAACCAAGCCCTTGAAGTACTCTTTTCTGTAATTCTCAAACTTGGGAATAAGAAGAACATCTTCAGTGTTCTCAGGTTTAAATCAGAATTGTGTAAGGTGACCAGAAATACACTGTCTTTGACTTTGCCGCCTGCCCTGTCTCCTGCTGCTGCTGTCACTGAAGTTGCCCTGCGCTCACCGTGCCTCTTAACCTGTTTCATTACAGTGCCTGCACCACATACCACTGACAGCAGGGCTGCTGTTTGCTTATCTGTCACCCATGGTTCGATGTCGGTGGGCCCGGAGCGAGGTGGTGATTTAATCAGATTCGCATTTTTAAAAAGATTCAGAATTAGCAAATGCAGATGACTGATGCGAGAGGGAAGGTGGCCTGCAGCCAAAATGCTCAGCTGACAGGTGACATGACCAGTGGGCCAGGCTGGGGAGTTCTGGACACAGGGAAGGAGATGGGAAGAGGAAAAGGACCCATGAGGGCTCAGGTGGCCAACCAGGTGCAGCCAGCTGCGGAAGTGAGCCTGCTAGCTGCCTGGGGGGAGGTGGAGGGAGCACGAGGGAAGGCGTGTGGAGGAGCAGCCAAGAGGCTTAGAGTGGGATGCTTCCAACAGGGTGTGGGCAGCTTGTCAGGCTTAAGGTAGCCATCACCTCAGGTGAGTGCAAGTCCTTTTCTCCACCAATACTTTTTCTTACCATTTTGTCCCAGCAAAGCAGTTACGAATGCTTTTTATAACACTCTACCCAGAAATACCATATATGAGCCCTAAAAAGACAAATGTACAAATGCCCCCAAAGGAAACTCACTCCAAATTCTTCAGCCACCTACTTTGCATCACATACGATCACAACCAGGGTTCTGCCACCTGGAGGGATGAGCCCGCCAGCTTCTGTCACCTGCCTCCTTGATAAACTCTCTTCTTCTCCTCCATTTTCTCCTTTACAGGAACAGTCATCTGATAGATGAAATTTAGATCCATAATTAGACCAAAAGGCAAACTGTTTTTGATGGCAGTAGTATGCTAGTGGAAGGGAATGCTCACACACACACTCACACAGGCACGCACACAAAAACAATGGCCAAAGCATCAAACAGTGCACACTGCAGTAAAAAAGGAAGGGGCGAGAAATAAGAAGGGTCCATGTCACTGGGAGAAGAGTCACTACACCTCGGCCATAGCTGGAAGACGCCCTGGCAGGCTTTCCCGATTTAGAAATACTTGATGGAAACGGCAGGTCTAAAGCCCTTCTGGGTATCTGTGAAGCTATTTTTGTCCCTCTCCCTAGCCTCGAAACATCAGAGAAGGGTCTAGAACCAAAGAGCTCGCGGCGTAAATTGCCACAGTGGCTGCAGTGTTCTGGCCACTCCTCCTCTGCTTAGGACCCCTCAAGTGGCAGCTGCACCATCACCCAGACCTGACTGGGCTCACAGGTGGCGAGGCCCTGGTGTCCGAGTTAACGCAGCAACGGCTGACATCTACCTGGAGAGGCTTCTCTGCTGTTCACCAAACTGCTCTCCACCGTCTGACAGGTATTGTTTTTTCTGTAGCTATCTGATGAGTTAATATTTTCATCTGAAAAATTCTTCTCCTTCTCAGGAACAGAAACAAGAGATACCACCGGGCACATCTGGGCTTTATCCAGCATTTGAAATCTGAATTGTTTCGCTTTATCCCAGCCAGCCAGTTTGCAGCTGACTAAGTTTTGAGGAACATCTCCTTTATTCCTGGAAAAAGAGAATTAGCCTTGAATACAGACAGGATTTCTAAAGCTAAAACGTTCAGTTACCATAAAACGTACAGTTCAATCTAACTAGTGAATGGCGATCTCAAATACCTTTATGAATATAAGTACAAAGGATACTTTGGGATACAAAATTTTGAAAAGATTTTCATAAAGGAAAAAATAAATGGGCAAAGTTGGTTCTACAGAAACTCTCAAATCACAGTTTAAAATCCATTAACATAATTTTAAGTGGCAAACTTACTCTATCCAGATCACCATATTTTTACTTCCTCCTTCTTTTAGAGTTCCAAAATTTGTCATCCTCGTGACTTCAATATCACCTTTGTTTTTCAATAAAAGGGCTCCACAGCACTCATCGGCAGCCTCTTCACCGGCAGAGGACTCTCTAGAGAAAGCACCCACAGAACAGCGTCACTGCGGCAGGGGTGCATCCCGAAGCACCACCCTTTCACCTGCCACTCTCCTTCCAGATGCCACCAGCTGCAGCACAAGCTGCTACACAAGGGATAAAAGGTCAACCCCAAAGAGGTGACCATGAAACTACACAGAGTTTCTACAACACTTAGGGTTTCGGAGAAGGACAGCAAATCATCTTGAAGAAGAGAATGACAAATCCAGTACAATCTGGAGAAGAGGAGGTGACAGAGTGGTGACATCTCAAAGGAGCTCCTGATTCTGAGAATACAACACGAACCCGTTTCCACCAGAAGCAGCGTGTTCCAGGGATGCGGGGGGAGGGAGCTCCCCTCCCCTCGTCACCAGGGGAAAGAGGTGTTCAGTCTCCTCTTCAGGTGCCTCTGGCTGCCTCCAGGCCGGCCCCTCCAGGCTGCCGGGAGGGAGGGGAGGCAACTTGGGGCTTTGCTTACCAGAGACCAAGGTAAGCTTTCATTTGGAAAAAGTTTTGTTGCTTCAAAGTATTTGAAAACAATTAAATGAGTTCATCTCTTCTGAAAATGAGACGATTTTACCCTCCCCTCAGAATGGACCCATTTATGTCCCTTTATTTAGCGAAGCACAGGCCTTCTTCTCATGGCTCACCCACGGTGCTCCTTCTGGAGGTAAATCTGGTGTCACGCCCTCCCCTGAGCCAGCCTGCAGCTCCTCCACATTTCTGGCCCCTGTCCACAACTCAGTGACTTTCTCAACCACACCAGTGACCCCTTCTCAGCCAGCTCCTGCTCCTTCCAAACTCGCCTCCCCTCCCACCTCCCATTCTCTTCCTTTCTCTCCTCCTCCACGGGGGCCCACACAACAGCCGCCACTCACTCCCCTCCAACGCCTCTCAGAGCTCCCTTAATCCTGCCTCTGCCCTCACCCCAGACCTGGGCAGGCCGTGGGAGCAGCAGCGGAAGCAGAGTCTCAGTTTCCGCAGACAGCTGACCACATCTGCTAAGAGATGGGGTTCAGGAATCTGAAAAAAGAAGGAAGTCAACTGCCTCGGGGAAGTGGATGGGGAAGACGCCGGAAGCCTGGGTCTGGAGGAGAGCAGCTCCACTTTGCGTACATTATTGGCGCCGTCTTTCGGACATTCGAGTAGGCGGCCAGACAGTGGGTCTGAGAGAAGGGCAGTGGCCCCCACACAGGGGGCTAAAGCTGTGGAGTCTGGACCAGCTGCTGTGGAGACCGGCACACACAGAGCAGGCTCCCTCTTGCTGACCTAGCTGCCTCACTCGTGTCAGGACGCCTGAGTGGGGATGAAGCACATAAACTCTGAGGGCAGAAATGGGGGTCTTCTTTGTCCAAAGCTGTACTCCTGTGGCTACAACAGTGTTTGGCACGCAGATAGCATTCACTGAGTGATCTGCTGGAAGGATGGACGGGATGGGATGTTCGTCTTCATTACAAACTCAGGAAACAAGAACTGACTGCTCACTAACTCACCCCTAAACCCTCATTCTGACGAAGGGGTTATGAGGGAATTCTGAGTTCACAGGAGTTGGGGCTGGCTCACAGTCAGTGTCCAATAACAAAGGAGAGAATACTTCCCTTGCTACATGAGGCAGACAAGGGAGAAGCCTCGGGAAGTGTATCCCGGCTTAGAGTCACCCCTCCCCAAGGATAAGCAGCACCATCTCCCCACTGGACCGGCTGCCCTGACTCACATCCGCACAGGGGCCGGAGTCCACTGCAGCCCAGGGGCCACTTGAGGAGGCTCCTCAGGAGCTGACCACCCACAGCCAGGGAGCCCACTGGTCATGCCCCCATACACTCCATTCAACAGACACCGGTCCACACCACTGTGAGCCACCACCACTCTGGAAAACACCATAAACGAGTAAGTCGTAGAATATGTTGAAAGGTAAGTGCTGGTAAAAACAAAACAGACTGGGCAACAAGGATCAAGAACTGGAGCAAATTCTGTCATTCAATGACCACACTGGCCCTGAGGCCTAAGATGGCAACTACTTTCTCTGTGATGTCAGGGGCCGGTATGGCCGCCATCCCACAACCCTCCACGCTCACAATCAGGAGCCCAGCTAACTGCAGAGTCTTTTTCAAGTCTTTCTGGCCTGAAGGGAAGAGCCAGGGAGTGCTTCCTGAAAGTGGGCCCAAGTGACTCCACCCCTAATGTGGGAAGGGGCCTCCGGCTTCGGCTTCGGCTTTGGCCCCAGGGTTTCAGGTTGCCAACCCCCAGTAAGATCCCAGACCTGGCAGGAACCTGACAGCCCTATTCAGATACAGGCAGGAGCTGCTCCACTTCTGAGGTAGATGCTGAGCCCGCGCAATGGGGCTGAAACAACTCCTGTGCCTCCTGGGGTGGTGAGAGGGTGTGGGCGACATGTCTCGCTTCACTGTCCCACAGAAAGGCCTGAGTCATTCTCCAAAAGGGAAGCAGGGCCCAGGAGGCAGAGCTCACTGTATCCTTTCCCCCAACCTCCACCCCTCACATGCTGCCCCAGCCTGGAGCTAGGTAGTCTGTCCTGTTGAACCTTGGCTACTTGTCGTAAAGCAAGGGGAGCAGACAGAACCTCACACATCCCGCCCGCAGTTCAGACACCGAGACAGAGCCAGGTGCTCCATATGCAGCAGGAAACAGACACAAACTGATTCCCGCACAGAGCTTCCTTCCAGTGAGGAGAGTAGGTGATCAACAGAGTAATTAAGGGACCGTACAGAAAGCTCGCTGGAGACAAGCTCTAAAGAGGAAAAGCAGGCAGAGGGGGAACGGGAGGCAGGCAGGGCTGCCGTTTACACTGAGAGCTCAGGAAAGGCCCATCCTGCCATATAAACACGCATGGGGTGGTGGTGGGGTCACCGGGGCTCAGAAGGAAGAACACAGACACAGGAAACTCAATAACTTTAAGAATCTACCATGTCCAAAGTGTTCTAAAAAATGCCAACGTGTGAAAGAAGAACAAAAGATTAAAAAAAATCCACCAAAATATGAAAATCACCAATATAAGATTAAGGATTAAGAAGGAATCTTTAACCTGCCCTTCAATCAACCACAAAGACCGCTCAAAACCCTCCAGAAGGTACTCTCTTTCTTACCACCCAGCTCAGGATTTGGACAGTCTATTATTTTGGCTTATTAAAGTAACTCTCAAACTACACTTAAATCGGGCCTTTCCGGTCCCAGAGAAGCAAGCTGTGTCCTCATTACCGCCTTTTCACTGGGGTCATACAGAGGGCTCTCCAGATGTAGCATGACTGGCTGCTCTCCACCACCACGGCGCTGACCAGGTCATATCTTCGAGGCACGTATCCTTCTGGAAGTTTCAGAGAGTCCAAGGTGAAAAAGATACTGTCGTCTATCACCCCATTCCTTCCACAGAGGCTAGAAATGCAGACCTGCAAGCACAGCCATGTTTAAACACGCACCATACAAGGGGTCCACCTCTCTGAACCAGCCCAACCCAGATGACCCCCAGAAACACCTGCTGAGCTGTGTGGCAACACCTCACTGCGCCCCACTACAGACACTTAAAACTGAATCTTGGGGGAATGGGGACCCTGCTGTCAGAGGAGAAGCAATGCCCTGAAGATTACACTATGGGTAGGGACTGAGCCAAGGCTGGGACAGCAACGATAGCTGGAGTGAGAGGGTGTGAGGTGTCCGGTGGTCCCTTCCCTGCTTCTCCGACTCGCCCAGCGCACACCTCCACCTCCACCTTGTGCAAACTCAATTCCCTCCTCAGTTCCAGGCTCCACTCCCTGAACCACGCCAGCTTTTACAAGCAAGCTCAAATCCTACATCCCACTCCACTCCCTCCCGACAATTAGAACATTTTAACACTTTCACGTAAACTACATAACTTACAACTTAATTATGCGAGGACACCAGGCTGGTCTCTAGTGACCTCCTTACGGAAACACAGCATTCTCAGTAAGAGAACAGGCTCCTCTTTGGCCCAGACTCAAGCTTATTCATCTAGACTTCCTAACGTACCCAGGAGAATACAGGAACCCAGGGATGTATGAGGGTCAGCACCTACCCTGTCCACACGCTTGTACCTCAGCGGCTTCACGGAGATGGCCTCGCTGCTCCACGTGCCCGGCCGCATCCAGTACTCAGCCTCCACCCAGTCTCCCTTGCAGGGCCGGAAACCTCCAAGGCAGGGGAAACCACATGCGTTACTCGGTAACGTTAACACCGAAGTGTACAATTCACTCTGAAGTTATGATACGCTGAAGGCATTTCTGCTCTATCTGAGACACATGTGAACAGTTAAGAAAAGGTGCTCTCGGGCCTGCCCCGTGGCTTAGCGGTTAAGTGCGCGCACTCCGCTACTGGCGGCCCAGGTTCGGATCCCAGGCGCGCACTGACACACCGCTTCTCTGGCCATGCTGAGGCCGCATCCCACATACAGCAAGTAGAAGGATGTGCAACTATGACATACAACTATCTACTGGGGTTTTGGGGAAAAAAAACAGGAGGAGGATTGGCAATAGATGTTAGCTCAGAGCCAGTCTTCTTCAGCAAAAAAAAAAAAAAAAAGAGGAGGATTAGCATGGATGTTAGCTCAGGACTGATCGTCCTCACAAAAAAAAAGAAAAGGTGTTCTCTGTTCCTGTTAGAAATGAGTTTATCACCCTTAATTCTCTTCTAGAGGTACTCTGGTTGAATGGAGCAGCGCATGCTCCAGACCAACCTTCTTTCCCCAGCCTTGCAGGGCAAGGGCAGGGAACCTGCAACCAGGGTGGTCATACACCTGGTCTGCGCAGAGTCTCAGAATCCCACCTGGTTTCAAATGTTTCCCGTATTTTTGGTTAAAAAAACAAACATTATTAACAACTGCAACAAAATAGGCTGAATGACAGACCTCTGTCTTATACCTCCAGCTTCCAGATGTGGGTGCATGCGTGGTGGACAGTGTCACTAACCTGGGGGCACTTCTCTCTCTGCCACCTCTTCCAGACACAGTGTGAGTACCTCTCCCTGTCAGGGACACACAGGGTGCTCGATGACACAAGGAAGTGCACTCAGACCTGAGGGCTAGGCAGCTTAGGTGGGGGAGCACTCAGTGCTCCCGCCAGCCCCCTGGTGTGCCAGACTGCTGTGCTGTCGCCTGTGCCATGGCCTACAGGATGCAAGGGGCTGTTGGACTGCCACTGGCTGGGAAATTGCTGGTTGAGTAACACGAAGTGGCTGAGCTGTCCTGACACAAAACAGGGAGAGAGTAACCTGAACAGGTTTGCTACGGTGCATCGTATAAAGCTACTACTTATAACTTTTTTGTTATTTTGCAATAAACACTTTTGGCAACAATAAGCTCAAAAAACAAAAGCGCATAACTGCATACTGAGTTTGTTTCTCAAGAAAACTGGTGATGGACACATAGCCCAAACATCTGCTGACATCTACTATTCAATGCAGGGGCCATGGTAACACCACTGGTGGTTTGAAACCAGAAGAGAGAAACCTACTGAAGCATCAGCTTCAAGGTCAGCTGGTGTTTTAAGACGACAGTGCCCAGAAACACAATTTAACAAGCTATAGAAAGACATTTATATGTAGTTTTTTTTTTTAAAAAAAAAAGACTTCATTTATCAAATAATTGTTTGACATAACTTTCCTAATTTTTTATTCCAAATTTTCCTAGACACACATGAAAAGTGAAGTAACAGCTATTAATGTTAGTTGTACAAACAGTTACTTTAAAGAGAAAAACAGTGAAACAAATCCAAATAAGAGTTTGAGTTTTTCCTATCAGAATCATGGAATCAAAGTAAAGATTCTGGAAGATCATTCTGTTGAAGGAGAAATAACCTAACATTATTGTGAATGCTACTGTAAATTCAATTTAAGAACCCAACACTGGAGATAAAATGGTTTTTACAATGACAACATGCATATAAGTTCTGATGGAATAAAGCACCATAATAAAAATAACACCCCATCACACTGAGAAACCTGTGGGGCAGGAACGTCCTTGAAACTGACTTCGGCGCACACACCCGACTGCCTCTGCCTGCACTCTGCTGTCCCACCAGCTGGAACACAAGCTGCAGCCATCAGAGTCGAGAGCATCTACAGACACGTAGAGGGAACCAGAGTACAAAACCACTGGGGCCTGGCAGCCCTTGTTCTCTCTGCTGCCCCACCTTCTAAATTTTACACACATTTGAACCTCTGAAGAAGCACTTTGTAAAACAACCCTACAACGGTGAGACCGCTAAATTTTGGTTATATTTTGTTCAAAATCAGTTGGAAATCTTTAATCAAAGTATTCGTTAAATGTGGAGCCCAAAATTTCCAGCTTTTGAAGCCTTTGTGAATTGCAGTTATTGAAAATACAGCTTGTAAACAGAAAGACAGTGACAGTGATCTCCACAAAAGCAACGGAGGAAAGCAGCATGAGACCCCAGGAGCCCACGTGGCGTACACGGTTTAATGCTGAAATCCTACGATTGGACCTGACACTATTCTGACTCGCGTTAAGTCTGTCAATGAAGCCCTTACTTTTAATTGGATAAACTGTATTTCATAATGGAATGAGTGAAACTGACAAGGCCTACAAATTTACAGCATCCATATTTGGAGTAACATTCAAAAAAATCACAGAGACAACTTATTTGACAAGTTTCAGTTTACGAAAATATTTGAATACCTTTGTACTCATATATGCAAAAAAGCAGTACCTGTGAAGACCCTTGGGCTGAAATGGTTATACATTTCAATAGAAAAATCCCAGACTTGTGAATATCTTACATTTAGCAGAATTTGCTCTGGGCTTATTAATATTTCCTCAATTAAAAATATTACAGCCTAGAGGGAGACCCAGTCAAAGGTGTCTACAATTTCAAATTCATCAACCATAAGATGCAGTTTTGAAGAAGACTCCCGCCCATTGTTTGGAAAAATGAAATTAAGATCATATTGAAAAGTGTACATTCTTCAGAACAATACCAGGAACATGGTATTAAGGATGCTAAGAAATTAAAGTATGTCAATATGTACTGACAATATGTACTGACAATACTACTACTTCAAAGGTCCACCAAGATAATAAAGTCAATCTGTTAGTCTATATACAAATATTTCAAAAATGACTTAATTTTACTTAGTTTTAACACCCCTTTTCACTTCTCAACTGTGCACCAGTTTGCACACTAAATTATCTGGTCATCCCGGCTATGGCTCTGGCCATGGGAGAGGAACAAAGCCACCATCAGGGCATGAGGCGGGGACACCGAGCCCAAACTCGCTCCCCTCCCTCTCACCAATCTGCTGGTGCTTTCCATGGGCTAATCCCAAACAGAAGCTAGAGGGCAAGGCCAGGGTCCATACAGCGCAGGCCCGGGGGCAGAGTGGGGTGGATCTGGAAAGGCACCAGAGACTGTCCAGTTGTGCAGGACAAAGAGCTCTGGCCTTGGAAGAGCTGGTGTTGGAGGCCTGTGATGCTACCCAGAAAGGAGGAAGCAGGTGTTGGGCAGAGGCTTTCAGAGCGACAATCTGAGGACCTCAGGGATGTGGGCAGATGAAAACAGGTCCCTGGAGTTGTCACCGACTAGGTGCCTCGAGCAACTCAAAGGTGGGTTTGGAAGCAATTAACTGTTTTCCAAGTTGTTTCTTTTCCTTTTGTATGTTAAGAAGATATAACCACCAGCCATCCTGAAACTGACCAAG